TAGCCAACATGTTGCAACGTGTGACAACATGTTGAGCTTGACGGTAATAAGGCAGTGTAGCCAACACGTTGTGCATGTTGCCAACAGAGCAATGCGTGGCAGGTGAGGCAGGTGCCAGAATTACGTGGTTCAAGCGGTTCATTCAGTTCACCTCATTCGCTAGTGGTCAATTCACTTGACCAGTAGCGAATAAGTGAACCGAATGAACCGGTTGAAACGAATAAGTACGGTGCTTACCTACGAACGTCACATGCAGAATGAGAGAGACGAAGAGAATCCTACGGTCTGTGTCAACCCGAGCTTCCTTTTCCTCAATCAGCTGATCGGAAAGGAAGCACACCTTGACACAGACTGTAGTACCATCGGCTCCTACACTGCCGCGAGAGGAGAGTGGGGCGAGTGTTGTGCAGTTCAAACATCTTATATATAAAGCTGAATGTCTGTTTTTCTGTATGTCTGTATGTCTGTATGTATGTACGTATGTTCCGAATAGAAATTTTTTTTTGTGAACCGATCCGGAGCAAACTTGGCACATATACACTTCGGGCCCCGGCGGGTGTCATAGGCTACTTTTCGTCATCGATCGATATCGATTTTATCGATTTTTTGCAAAATTTGAGCTACGGGGCTGGGAGTTGGCACAGGGGGGTAAGTGAGCATGGGGATTCCGAATACAATATTAGTTTTTAGAATCGTGCATTACTTTTATCGATTTTATCGATTTTTTTGCAAAGTTTGAGCTACGGGGCTGGGATTTGGCACAGGGGGTAATCGAGCATGCTGATCACCCCCGTGGGGGTGATCACCATGCTCGATTACACCCCTGTGCCAACTCCCAGCCCCGTACCTCAAATTTTGCAAAAAATCGCTAAAATCGACATCAATCGATAACGAAAAGTGGACTGTGACACCCGCCGGGGCCCGAAGGGTATGTGTGCCAAGTTTGGTCCGGATCGGTTAAGAAATGGAATTTTCTATTCGGAACATACGGCGGAGCCGGGTAAGCCAGCTAGTAACTGATAAATTGACTGTCGGTTGACAATCGCTACTCGCCTCGCGGGGGTAGAGGGCTATATGTCGTCGGATGTGGGAGGGTCACGCCCGGACTTCTTGCAAAAACGCACCTTCGTGCAAGAACAGGGCTGCGCATTTGTTGCAAATGACCGCGGGGGTCGCCTTTCGGCGTCTAATCCCCTACCCTCCCCCCCCCCTCCTCCCCGCTCGCGGCAATCGGGGAAGCGATTATAGTTGTAACGAACGGAAATTTTCATCGAATGAACGAATATCGAATAATTGAATTTTGAAAACGTTTCGAACGAATGAATATCGAATAACTGATTTTCGAAAATTTTTGAATGAACGAATATCACTCGATTTCTGATTTTCATAATACTCGAATTTGAATATTCGAATGTGGCCACATTCCACAATTCGAATGAACGAATATTGAATAACTGAACTTGATCGAATATTCGACTATCCGAATAATCGAATAATTGGATTCATCGAATATTCGAATGCAATCTTCGAATATTCGCGTGCAATATTCGAATATTCAAACGCAATAGTCGAATATTCGAATATTCGAATAACAGTTTTCCAAATTTTTCGAATGAACGATTCGAATAATCTTTTTTTAGAACTCCCCGAATGAACGAATTATTCGAATATGGACCTTTCTCATTTATTCGACTATTCGAATAATCGAATAAATGGACTTTCTCAAATATTCGACTATTCGAATATTCGAATAGTCGAATATTTCGAATAGATTATTCGAACGCGAATATTCGGTGTTAACTATAGATAGGTGCCAGAGTAAGCGAATATTTTGTTCAGGTTGGGGTCCCACGCAGAATTAACGCCTCTCACCATGCTGGCATCAGTCCAAGTGACGTCAATTCTGCGTGGAACCCAACCTGAACAAAATATTGGGGGGCACGCGGAAGGCGACAATCGGCGAAAAATGGAGGCTGTGTATCATCCGTCTCAATGACTTTCACGGATTTCTACTTGTGGCATTGAGTAATGTATCTGCCCCCACCCCCCACCCCCGTAGTCCCCCGGGGTGTCACTTTGACACCGGGGAGTTTTTGATAGGCACAAAATTGGGGATTGTCGCCTTCCGCACCACACCCCAAAATATTCGCTTACTCTGGCACCTACCATAGAAGGGGGAACGTCCGGAAGGCGACAAATGACCTAGAACAGGTGCAGCTGGTGGCCACGCCCTGTCCGAGTTTCCCTGTTAGGATGCTCTGGATATTTGGATTGGGGCGCCTTTACACACATTGCGCATGGCTCTCTCAATTTCACTTCGTCGTTCCTTCTCACGTTTTTTTTTGAACATGTTTGTTTTGTGTATGTATATTATTGCTCACTGTGGTAATGTGATGATTTGCATTCTTTTGTTTTTGCCTATCTATAAGCATATGCTCTTCAAAACTGCCTTTTGTAGAAAATTTTGTTTCAGGCTGCAGCAATATGTATAGTGCAATAAAAATCATCCTAGTAAGGAGGTTAGTAAATACCTGCGTTTTTGAGTGACGTGTTACTTTTGTATTTTTTAATAAGTTAGGTGTTTAGTTAACTATACCATATTTTTATATGTTAATTAGTTTTTGTGCAGACCTCGTCCAAGTTGATGATGGAACGGATAAAATGCGAGTAGATCCACTCAACAACAATACTGTAAGCCAGTTATATCAAGTAAAGGTGAGCTATTATTCTTTTGTATCTTCTTTACAATACGACTTTTCTTCAGGCCACAGAAGAAGATTTGGAGCACTTCGAGCAAGGACGCATTCTGCGGTGGGATCTCGATTGAGATTATTCGAGCACTTCATTTTTTTTTTTTGATTTCAGCTGTAGCTTGCAATACACTGTAATGTGTTAATGATAACAACCATTCTTTTTTTTTCTTATTGTTAGCATCGCTGCCTTTTTTTTTTCATTGAGAATAAAGGATTACCGTTCAAACTGGACGTACAGTATTTGGACAACGTCCATCGACCGAAAAATAAGATGCTCCAAACAAACAGAGCCTAAATCTTCTTAAAATGCTTTGTTTTAGCCATATTTTCTAGAGGTACTAGCAAAATGAAAATCCCATAAAATTCTTTCTAATTTCAGTATCCTCTCTTCTCTATAGAAACTTCAAAATTGACAGTCCTGAGGATCTCATGTAATTGGGGTTGTTTTGCAAGGCGAATTCAGGAATGATGATTATATTGCGAAGTAGTCTTCTCTTGCACAATTCACCTGTACTGCAGGGAAGCCAAGTTCACAATGTCCGAAAAAAATGTCTTGTACTACTGTTGATTTTTCGTCGCTTCAACTATCTTCAGTGCTTTCGCGTTTCACTAATGAAACTTAGTGTTTATTTTGCCTTAAAGCCTGACTTGTTTTGATTCGAAATAAAGAGTCGATCTAGCAGGTTATGCATGTTTTCGCTTTTCTTTTTCTTCTATGTTTCTTCGGAGTTCTGTTACCCTTACATTATGTAGTAGCAGTGGAAACATCGGGACCATTTTTTTCAGTTCGCTATTGCGAACATGATCACAAAAGCTGGAATTCACATCTATTTGTATCAGATTATTATAAATTCATTCTTCTGCATACCTTTCATAACCTTATCAATGTGAGTACTATACAAATAAGATCGTTTTCTATTCGAAGGCTTACAAACGCTTACCAGAAACAGGCAAATACATTGTGAGAACTTAGTCTAGCTAAAGTTCACTTAACGCAAGTATGCAGGGATGGTTACCTTGCAAAATACTTATCATTCCTGATCCGCCTTAAAAAATAACTCCAACTACATAGAGATTTATCTTAGAAAGCGATTTTCAAGTTCTTAGAAAGAAGAGAGGATATAGAAATAAGAAATAAACATGATATTATCGTTCTGATATACTTCTAAGAAAATACAGCGAAAACAAAGCTTTTCAACAAGGTTTAGACTCTGTTTGTTTGGAGCATCTTATTTTTCGGCCGACGGACGTTGGCCAAATACTGTACGTCTTCAAACTGTAGGACAGAACAGCGCAGAAAAGCACGAGAAAGGTCATAGTATTGATTATGGAAAAATGCGGGTTTGCTAAGCGGGTCGAGTAATTAGACAATTTTGGATTCCCGGCAAAAAAAGTTTGTATTTCTTCCACCGAAAGGGAGCTGACTTGCAATAGTATGATCGTTTTGATTTATCTTGTTAACAATACTACACTCTGCCTTTGTCATGTCCTGATTACCGTTCATGACAAGCTCAGTCGTTATGATGCATAATCTATGAATCTGGATGTGACAAATCGACTTCCGTAAATCAAAAGAATGAAGATCGTGGCAGAACTGCACTCCTAGATCAAAAGAAGCGCCTTCGAAGAAATTGATCTGCTTATAACCCGTTTTTTCTGGTGAATTGTGATTATGTTCTCTCGTTTCAAAGCCATAATTACGTGTTTCATAGGTCTGTAATGCTTGATCTTTTTAATCTTGAAAAGTTTGCACCACCAAACTTAGGACAAGTATCAACGAGGAGATAAACAGGTTTCAAGTGACACATTTACTCCGTACACTGCTTAGCCCATATTTGATCAGTAGTTTGACTTGAGGCAACAAGTAAATCAATGGGAACTCCGAAGAATGCTGCTACTATTAATGCGCCAGCGCGTGTGCCGAAAGGGCGTCAGTCGCTGGCCTGGTTGACCTCGCGCTCGGTGTCACAGGCGCTCATGAGGGGCGTGGCCTCCATGCGTCCGCTCCACCTGGGTTTTGTCGCCTTCCGGCCTACACCCCCATAGAAGCGATGATAGTTGATTTGGCGTGAAATGGACGTTCTGTTATCGCACAACTAATTTACTCACGCCTAAAAATATCCTTTTATTGTTGCTGGTGGAAATGAAATGGTAGCGTCCTATCTGTGTATGTGGTTTTACAGATTTTGGCCAGTTTGCTCGTGAGCGCATAAGCTTGCCCGTTTGGTTTTCTAATAACTTCGAAGACACCATATCCTTCATTTTCCAGATGAGTGACGGTCCGCAAGGACAGATTTCTGTCCGATTCGTGGGTGAGGATGGTAACGAACTGGGAGGAGCAGGCATTCTATTACCAACATCGGTCACCAGCAATCAGCTTCAGATCCTTTGCAATCAGCTGCTCGAAACTAGGTTTGTGAATGTTTTCTCTTTTTTGTTTCGAGTTCATACTACTCATTTAGCGATGACCCAGTACCAATTTCTTTCTTTACTGAGGATGGTGTGGAAATCATAAATAGCATTGAACAAAGTCTGGAAAAGATAGACACAGAAAAGGTACGGTTTACGACAACTAGGGCAGTTTATATTTGAAAGGGTTTTCATGTGTCTTACCATTATTTATTCCTTTCTCAGACAAGAAGCTAGAGGCACCATTCACCCTAAGTTAGGGGTCTTGAGCTTTTTGCAGCTTATGCTAATGGGAGTTTGGACGTTAATTTTCCCTATCAAGCCAATACCCAAGCCGCGGTGCAAAATGTCGTCGCGAGAAAATCGTTCCGGAACAGGGAAGATGGATGAGGCCTTCAGTTGGCACACCCCCTTCAGTAATGCCCGCCCATTCGTGCGCACCCATCGGATCACCGTTCCGAAAAGCCGGCCTGTGGGTTATCCGGATCGGGGATTGTTGGTTGTCGCGGATTCTCGACTTCCGGAATCAGGGACGTGAGACCCGGAACGATCAAAACATAGAAGTCGAGAATCTGGGTGCACTGTGCTTTTAAGCATCAAAGTTGCATATTGTGCATCACATTGCATATTATACTTCAATCAGTTGCCCTCTTTGAAATGTTGTTTTCATGTACAGAATACAAGATTAAAGGTGTTCATTAATTTCAGACATTATGCCTTGTCTATCAACCTCAAGCTGTATTTCGCGTACAGCCAGTAACACGATGTTCCTCAAGTATGCCTGGTCACGGAGAACCGGTCATAACGGCTCAATTCAGCCCTGATGGACGGTAATTATTCCACTATATATGTTCTTCACACTTTCATCTTACCTCGTTTAATAAGTTTTTTGATTGATAGTGTTACGCAGAGCCTATTATCAACGGTTTTTTCCCTCACTGAAACTTCGTCAAGTTTAACTGCCATTTGTTACCAGTACTGCATTCAGAGGACTTGCCAGTGGATCAGGTGACACGACAGTTCGAATATGGGATATTGACACGGAATTGCCTTTGTTCACGTGCAAGGGCCACAAAAACTGGGTCCTATGCATTGCGTGGTCCCCGGATGCGAGGAAGATTGCATCTGCATGCAAAAATGGACAGGTAATAGGGGATCTTTCAGAACTAAGGGGTAGACATTGAAATACAAAAGACATAATCAGCTGGTCGAACGGAACAGTCTTTTACTCTTACCGTAAATGGTTCAGATCATGATTTGGGACGCTGCAACTGGCACTCAAATTGGAAAATCTCTACAGCGACACAAGCAATGGATTACCTATCTTGCCTGGGAACCTATGCATCAGGATCCCAAATGCAGGTACATAATTCTGCTTTTACAGAGGAAACGATTGCAAGTGGGCAAATTTAAGTCATTGGCAATGTTCAGGCTTCTTGCTAGCGCTGGAAAGGACGGCAATATTCTTATCTGGGACACCATCCAAGGAACCGTTGTGCGTGCACTAAGCGGTTTGTTGACATTTTTCCTGATTTGCGACATTTGTAGTGATCTCATTCTAAACTGTGTTTGATCACCGACAATATGCTTGAACACATTCATTCAGGGCATACAGCGTGTGTGACTAGCATACGATGGGGAGGAGAAGGTCTTATTTATTCCGGTTCTCAGGTAATTGTTTGCAGGGTTCATCTCTTCCTCAATGTTCTGACGGCTTCTGAAAAATGTTCTCCCCTGCCAATTATTGCAGGACCGCACAGTCAAAGTATGGCGTGCTAGCGATGGGATTATCTGCCGCAATCTTCTCGGTCATGCGCATTGGGTCAATACACTGGCTCTAAACACAGATTATGCACTGCGAACAAGCTGTTTTGATCCCAAAACCGGTTGTAGTAAACCAAAAGGGGATGAAGAGGTATGCTGCATAATTTTAATGTGATCACTGACTAAAAAGTCAACCTCTCTGCAGTGTCGCGCAGTCGCTCAGAAAAGATACGAAGACGCTCTCAGAGTTTGCGAAGAAGAGCGATTAGTCAGTGGCTCGGACGATTTCACGATGTTTCTCTGGGTTCCATCAAAATCTAAAAATGCGGTTGCACGGCTGACTGGCCACCAGCAACTTGTAAATCAGGTTGGTTTTTTCCTTCGTCTCAATTCAGCTTTCCAAGTTGTTAAGGTCGTATTTTCGCCCGACACTCGGTACATTGCATCTGCTTCATTTGACAAATCTGTGAAATTATGGTGTGGGAAGACTGGAAAATTTATTGCGTCGTTAAGGTACGATTTCAAAATTTTTGTTGCTCACATTGAAACAAAATCCTAATACCCGCTGAAGAAGATGTATCTAGAGGCCATGTCAATGCAGTCTATCAAGTCGCTTGGTCGGCCGATAGTCGATTACTGGTGTCTGGGTCAGCCGATTCAACTCTGAAAGTAAGTTTGTTTCGCCGTGGTATCTCATGTCTCTTCATCATCCTCTATAAGTCTTCTAGTTTCGAAATAATCACGTACTGATAATCTGAGATAAGTCTGCGGATAGACTACGCTTCGCTATTTCTTTGCAGGTCTGGGAAATTCGAAGCAGAAGGCTGCATTATGATTTGCCTGGACACGGCGATGAAGTGTATACCGTTGATTGGAGCCCGGAAGGCACGAAAGTTGTTAGTGGTGGTAAAGATAAAGTGTTAAAACTTTGGCGGCAGTAAGCTGCGGGTGGAAACTCATGAACATGGAAATTTCTACTTATCAACGTCAAAATCCAGAAAAGCGGGTAATTACTGAACCATATGCTACGTACTAACGCTTGTTTTCTTTTAAAACTAGTTGCTCTGCTGTTGTTGTCTGTTTTTGTTGTTGATTGCTTCATCTTTGCTTTGTTGCTGGTGTTGAAAATGAAACCATTACTGCTGGAATGATTGCATATTGAATTAGATGCAGACTTACTCGGATCATAAATTTAGTTAGCCAATTCTGCATTGACGGAGAGCTCCCGCTCCTCCCAAAACGTTCTTTACTCGTTGCTGATAATGGTTTACTTTCGTGAACGCGTCCAGCCCTTTTGGACCAAGTATACATGCAAGATCTCGAAAAACACTTATTCCCAGTTTGTTTAGCTTTATAATCTGGTCGCATCTAGCATTTCTTGTTGGCTGAATCGACAAATCATGCACCGGCATGCTCAACTAATTTGCTAAAAATTCCCTTATCACTACCTTCTTGCAGATGGACAATCCTGGTTACCAACCATTTGTTTCGGTTTGACTTTTCCAAGAGATCTCTCTGAGATTTTCACTGAAAAAGGATGTGAGTGTCATCATAGCTAATTCGTGAGTATGTTTTACTTGCCCAATAACATGATTGCAAACAAAAATCAACACGTTTCCAATGAAATTAGGAAGGGAATTTCTATCATAGTTATCCCAAATTGACAAGACAATGAGGGCGTAGTCATAGCAAAAAAGAAGTCGACGTATTTTATCCTCAAGATGATGGAGGAGGAGGCGGTATAGGTGGTGGAGCCTGTCCCGGAGGAGGAGGGACTGGCGGGCGAGATGGCGGTGGTGGTGGAGGGAATTGCCCAGAACCGGGAGGACCTGCTGAGTTGAAACGAGGCGGAGGAGGCGGCATTCCTGGCGGGAATCTGCAAAATTATTATTGGTTTTAAAAGCGGACCAGATGCAAAACATTAGCAACGGACTGTTTAATCCCCGGTAGTGTTCACAAAAGTGCGACGGGCGTGACAATGAAGTTTTGAGGAAGTCCGGACTTGATATGAATGATACGCCAAAAGTAGTCAGAACACGCGATTTTTGAATTTTTACGACACTTACTAAGATTGCTGTCATGCTGCACTAAAAACAACTTGAAAGCAGACCTTGGAGGTGGCGGCATCATTCCTGGAGGTGGCGCGCCCGGTGGTGGAGGACCAGGTGGTCCTGGCGGTACTGGAGGACCTGAGGGTGGCATGCTGGATGGAGGCGGTGGCGGCACGAAGGATGATGTTCCACGAGATGGAGGCGGAGGAGGTGGAGTAGGCATAGTAGGAGTTTGTGTAGGTGGTGGAGGCGGCATGTTCCATTGAGCTCCACCAGCTGAGTTACAAAATACAGCAAAAAAAATTTATACGCTTCAAACTGTAGCACTTACCCGACATCGGCGGGGGAGGAGGTCTCGGAGTCAATCCAGGTGTTGGTGGTACTGGTGGTGGAGGTGGAGGAGGCATAGGAGTTGCTGTAGGAGGTGGAGGTGGGAGGGCATGTGGAAATCCCATAGTTGCTGCCATAGTCCCCATATTCATCGCAATCGGAGGTGGCATAGGTGGCATGCCAGGCATTCCCGGAATAACCGGAGGCATACCAGGAATTGGTGGTGGGAATGGGAGTCTGCCGGGGGCATCCGAGAACATCTGAATCCATAAAGATTTTGGATGTGGAGAGAGAGGAGTAAAAGTGTCATACCTGGTTTGGACGATCTTTGGGGAATAGCGGATTCTGCGCAGCCAACATCCGTTCTGCAGCAGTTCCGTGTCGCTCACCCTTTGCATCCTTTTTGAAAGCATAAGAAACGGAGATTGCCCTGCAGGTAATAGTGTTCATTGCACAGAAAACAGAAAAAGCAACAAACCTATTGCATAAGAACTGCCCATTCATTGCTTCCATAGCCATATCAGAAGCTTCGAAGGAGGCAAAGTTGATGAACGCAAAACCTTTACTGTTGCCCGTTTCTGGATCGCGCATGATCTTTGGAACCTACAACAGAGTATTTAGCTAGCTTGACATATTAAAACGAGGAACGTACTTGAAGAATGACTCCAAAAGCACTGAATGTGTCGTACAACAGTTTCTCGTCAACCTTAAAAAAAATCTTACTGTAAATTACGACAATATGCATTTCAATTGTTACCTCCGGGTCCAAATTACCCACAAAAATATTGGCACCAACATCCATATTCTTTTCGTGAGCGCTAGCTTTATTCACCTAAACAACAAGACTGAACGCGCTGAACTATATCATTTGGTGTTCATAACAGCGAATAAGTTACCTTAATCGGTTTACCGTACAATTTGATCATGTTCAAAATCTTGATTGCATAGTCCGCATCTTCTTCACCCATGAATTCAACAAAACCGAAACTGCAAAGAAAAATCAACTACTACAACCGATGACCACGAAATATACGACAAACCCTTGATGATTCGCAGTCACTCGGTCTTTAGGCATATTCACGCTGGTCACAGGACCCGCTTGAACCATCAACTCCCATAGAACATTTTCAGTGACCTTTTCATCCAGACCGCCGACATAGATAGTTGCATCTGCAATGAAAGAAAATGAGATAAATAATTACAGCCATTCTGAGAAACTTGTTAATAAATCGAATCAGGAACACTAAATAGATGTTGCGAGTTTATTTCGTCAATTTTTTCTCAGTTTCATGTTCACGCTATAACGTGTGCTACTGTCCAAAACAGCATTTTCAGAAAGGCAGACCATAATCAGAAAGTGGCCACATTCCAGGCAAATTCGAGATCTTTCGCCAAGATATTGAATACATTCTAACAATGTGATCTTGATTTGCTGCAGTTCTGAGTAATAATGTGCCTAAATGATATGATGGAAATACCGATTTTAAAGAACAACCCTACGTCCACTTTCACATGGAAATGCTGTGACAAAGGCAGTAGCGGTATACGCATGATACTTCTAGGATTAACAATTTTTAGTTTCGATCTACGAGTACTACCAATAGATAGATACGCCAATGTGCAAAATCTGACCGATCTGAGACTTGTGAAAAAAGTATATGAGTAAACTGCTTGGTGTGATCAACGATTAGAAATCTGTGATCAACTGACCAACCTTGATTTCGCTCTACTATCGGTCCTGCTGACATACTGACAACGGAACGGCTTTCCCAGGTTCCTGAACAGCCTGATTAAAAAAAAACTAACAGCAATGCCCGACAAAATCGTGACTTAAGTAACAAGCTTGGATATATCCACTTAATCTCCAACACCATGCGTAAATTTATAATATTTCAAGTGAAAATGGCAACAAAAATGTACACATTCGAAAGTCAAAGGTTCTGAATATAAAAACGCAAGAACATGGGATGATGTGCGCGCGCACAGTAAACAAAGAAAATCACGTCTAGAGAGAAAGAGATGCCCAACTATCAGAATCCAAAGACGTTCACGCAAAATTTCGCAGACAATAAAAGCCCACAAAGGCAACTGCGTAATAATGAGCAATGAGGAAAAAAGACTCGTAGAACATATATCCTTGAAATTATGTATATGAGATCCAGACAGGCTTGATTGTGGCTGCTTAAGACAGCAAAAAGGTGACTGAATTTACAAAATAAAAGCTTTTGAAGATATATCTGAAAGACAGGAATACCAAACTGTAGATGTTATAGAAATGCATATAAATATCCTCAATGACAATTCGCAACCTCCCTATCTACACAACGAAATCATTCATTGGGTTCGTCAGACGCTTCCTCCGCCTCTTCTGATTCGAAGTCCAAAAAGTTGAGAAACTTCTTATGCAAAATCTCTTCTCCGTGTTCATTCCACTCATCTCTTGTCACAAAAAGGTGTTCTTCTGTTACCATATCCCCAGTGAATGCAGCTGTTGCACATGACCAAGCGTGGGTAATCGGATTGGAAACATCAGCAAGGTTTACGCACCAGTCAACATCCATATACGATCGCAAGTCAGTGATACTGCAGAAGAACGAAGAAGTTACCCTGGTTTGTGAAAGATCCGTAAAGACCTACAATCGTTCCCTAAACCCAGGAAACAGCGTACATCCTCCCACTAAAGATATGTTTTGCACCAATGCCGCTCTGAGATTCACAGGACATCTTGAAAGTGATTCAACAACTGCCTCGACGACACCCATTTGGTTCAAGCCAATGTCGGAGGGGCTAAAATCATTGAAGTAAGGAAGGCGTCATAGTTACCGTATCCCTAATCAAATTCTAGATTGGATCCGGAATAGTAGCTAAAACGTCTACCTGATAAAGAAAAAAGCAGAAAAATCATGCCGAAAAAACTGAACTGACTGAAACAATAGTTCGGGCAGTGCAAAACGTTCTCGATTCAGAGTAATGGCTTGAGGTGCATCCTCCGGTTGCGAAGACTTGGCAGTTTGCAAAGGATCTCTCAAATATCCTCGCGACAAGCGACAAAAATCTGGGAGTACATATTCACAACGGATTGTATTGCGAGCATCGCGGTACCTAAAAGAAATTCGTATTCTGTAGCACTCCCATGATCTGAGGCCGAGCAAAATTGGATATTGCAGCAGGCTCGATCGTAGCAGTCTCAACATTAAAATAATATTAAAATAATATGATCTTCGAGCGTTCTAGAAGAGGAGAAGATGTATTAGAAACCCACTTAGCAATTTTCATATCCCGATTGAAGTCGAGTGAGACAAAACAGGCATCTTCTTTGCACTGGTTCATGATATAAGTTTCTTCCAGCACATTTAGGTCACGATAAGAGATCCATTCCTTCAACTGATTCGTCAAAACTTTGCCGCCCACGTCTATTCTGTAACTCAGGGAAAGCAGAATAGATCTAGAGATTAAATAAGATACGAGATAGCGACACCATACCTCACAAGTCCCTGTTGAATAGCTTTGCCGTCCAGAAAGGGAGCAACAGTAACAGAAGAAAATCCACAATCTACGATAAGAGCACACCTGATGTTGCGACATGATCCTTCCAGAGCTATGAATCCGGCAGCTTGAATCAGAAAAACCCATTTGCAATAAACAACCAACAAAATCCAAACTATCATGCACGTACCTGACGCTTTGAAAACAGAATGGAAGTCATGCTGCTCAAACAGTGCCTCCACACTGACATCCTCTATGGCAGGAATCAGATAGTTAGGGTCAGAAAGAACAATTCGCGATTCTTTAGTAGGATATGATTCAAAAACGTGCTCCCAGATCTGTTCTTCTACGTCCGGATTGACTGCAATTATAATTAATAGAATTGCTAAATTAAGAAATCGACTACTATATTGGTTGCTTCACCACAACGCGAAGCAAAAATCGAGATCTACAAGTCAAGCAAGATGCGTACTTCTAACGAATGTAGCAAACAATCGATTAAGAAGTCGAATATTTTTGTCACTAGCAGTTAATATGGGTAAGATAGCGAATATAAGGGGGGAGGGCATAAATAAATGATTGTGAAAGAAAAAAAATGAGAAGAATTTCATTTCGTACTTTTGTCGTCAACAGATCTAGCTGCTGGTACGGTTCAAGAGAAGAAGAAACAAAACGTCAAAGGTGCTTGCCGATTCCTACGAAGACAGGGTGTCAAGGTGACAAACTGGAAGGAAATTCAAAGTGATTGCATATCTTTAGTAAAAAAGTTATAGAGAGCATCACGAAGAACTAGCGTAGCCGCTCGGCACATAGATGGAGAAATAACGACAAGTTCTCGTCAAACATACCTAGATAACCTCTTTCAAATGGCATTACATAGAACAGTCCTGTCTTGTCGACACATTCCGACTGCTCGTCAGCAACGAATTCTCGTTTCCTATCCGTCTTCGCCTTAGCAATACAGTTAGGTATGACCCTGAAATCACATTTTTTAAAGTGTTCATAAAGTATAATATGGTAGTAGAAGCAGGCACGCACTTCGGCTCCAAATCTCGACTCGTTCCTATTTTCATAGTATATCCGCCATTGTCCAGTATTATTGTTTCCCGCTGCACCATCACGAAAGAGATCCCAACCTCAAAACTTTACAGGTTGACAGGCTATCTTCGGAAAGGACCGTCCGAACAGTTAAAGTACGACTATCATCGATAAGGATGCTAGGAGATGTGATTCCATGATGAGAAGAACGATACTGCCCTGCCTTTGCAAGCGCTTTATTGTACATGCATAAATGACACTTTACTCCTCTTATTATAAACAGATCCACAACAAAATTCTATAATGATAAACCTAGAAAACAGACTGTACAATATACAATTACGAGCCAGATTGTTCGGCGCTCAAAATCATGCCCATGTTGAACTCATTCTTGAATTTGGATTGTTTGAGGAAGGCCTCCAAACTTCGGAACTGAGCATCCCTTTTTGCAACTTCAGCCATTGGCGTGAAACTGCGATCCATTTCCATACGGTAAGAAGCGACATACTCTTTAGTCTTGTCGTCTCTTGACCACTCCTCAGGCGACAGTAGCGAAAAGTACCTAACAATACGATACAGCTATTTTTCGGTATTATTCCATACTAGTTGACCCAAAAAATGAAAGACGCGGATTTTGCTGAAACTTCGTCTTTAGAGGGGGTATTTTCAGCGTAAATCGGTAGACGGCTAAAAATCCCAAATTGCTGAATGCTCAAACTTTGCCTAAAGGGATTCCTAAGCAGGGTGATTTTGCATGCTGATTACGAATCACACTTTGCACGTAGTGCCTGGTGGAGTTACGGTAGGATTACGGTGAGGGGTCAAAATCACGGATTTGCGCCAAACTTTGTCTAAGGTGGTTATTTTTCACGCTAAACATGAAAATCATATTCATTTCGTACGGTAGCTCCACTTTCTCGGGCTAGGGTGGATCGGTAGATGGCTAAAAATCTCTAATTTGCTCATACTTTGCCTGAAGGGATTCCTCAGCAGGGTAATTATGAATAATGTGCTCTTTTTGTCGTGCTGATCACGTATATCGCCTCGTCTCGCAGGATAAAGCCTTTCCGTGGATTTTTGGGATCAAAATTTGGACGATCAAAAACGAAAAGTTGCTCTTCCACGCACTATAGCTCTGCAATAGCATTCGTTGTTCCAGCGATCGCGTTTGATATTTGCAATCAGCATGCTTATGAACCCCTTCAGGCAAAGTTTGAGCTTTTTCCGGAATTTTTAGCCATTTACCGTACATCTACCGTAACCCGAAAAACGGCGTTACCGTATGAAATGGATCTGATATTTATATCTAGCTTAGCGAATAAGCCCTATGGACAAGGTTTGGGGCAAACTCGTGATTTGACCCCCTACCGTAATCCTACCGTAACTCCACCAGATTCATTACCGTGCGAAATAAGTGTGATATTCGTAATCAGCGTGCAAAGTAAACCCTCTAGACGAAGTTTCAGCAAAATCCGCGATTTTCATTTTATGGATCGACTAATGTGGAATAGCGCCTTCTCAGCTAAACGGGTTTCTTTCCCTAGTCAGCACCTCGCTGCCTATTGCCTATCGCGCTCGCAAGTTTGGATGTCTAACACATCTGATAGCGAGCAAATGTTTCACATCACTCCATAAGTGATGGATGAATATTGTGATGGAAGATCAGATGCGTAGGCTGGTAAATCAGACTCAATCAAAATCGCAGTATGTCTCTCCCAGATCAACTCATGAAAAAACAGAAGGTAAATTAGATCGATCGCATTCTGGCTACTTCATTTGCTATGCTGCGTCTCTTTCAATTTCAGCTGCAAAGCCAAAAGGGCAGTTCTTAGCTGTAGAAAACCTGTTCGAAAATAGGCACTAACTTGGAGCCGTCACTTCTGCGGTACAGATGGTAGACACGCCCGGGATGCTTCTGAACGTTACATGGCACACTGTGCAACTCTTCATCTCGTTTTGCTTCCTCTAGAATCTTCACGGCAGCCTAGACCTCATTTTACAAAAAGCTGTCTGAGATATGCAAGATATAATCAAGATGTAAAAGCAGACTTCCACGGAAAATGTGACCGAAATCCACAAAAGAAACTGACCCACAAAACAACACCTATTCATGCCATCTATTTTGTTTCTAACTGAATAGACCACTGATACCTTTTGCAACTGCTCCATTTGCTCAGCTATACCCCTCAGACGATCGCAAGCTCTTGTTTTTACTAATCCACTGCAATGAGAGTTTGGCGTTGCATTCACATGGAGGTAGTTACAGACCTAGCTGCACTTAATTGTTGTGCAAGAGCGACCAAGTCATCGGGAGATGCTTGGTCGGTTTGGCGAGATGACACAACCACACGAGCATCATCATCTCTGGGTTTCACGAGCTTGACTTCCGCTGCTGCAAAAACTTTGATAAACATGCTAGCCAAACCTTAACTTGCTCATTTTACACCCATTCTAAAATAACTTGCTCATTTTACACCCATCCTAAAACCGAGTTTTTGGATTTTGGAATACTAGTGACCTCAATTCTCACCCGGAAAATCACCACAATCACCTGCTTCTCACTAAATGCTGGACCTAAATCATGCAACTCTACCGAGTAAAGAAAAAATGAGGCACCTATGTCTCCTTTTCTCTAACACCAACGGCAAACAGCAAAAACCTTTGATGCGTATCTTGCAGGAATGTGCAACAGCGAAGATAAGAGAAAGACAAACAAATGATCTATCTATTGAATATTTGCTGAAAAAGCCATGGCACGAAGGAACAGGCGATACCGATCTAAAGGCAGCGGACTTCTTAAGTGAAATGTACTAAATTCCTTCGACAAACTTCTCAAACCTTTCTAATAAAGGGAACGAATGCCACTTCAAACGACAAACTAGAAATTCCCAGATATCGATATCTTCAACGTCTGCATTTCACCACCTCGCCGCAAAAAGCACTCATTGTATTACAACTCGAAGCTCTCACAGTGGCTGATAAGTATCGAAAAACCTCTGCCTGCCCTCGTCAAGAACTACAACTACCTCCTCCGAACATACACACTACATTGAAGATTTTCTTTGAATTTTTACCATTATGATCGTTTCCCGCAAAATCGACAACGGAATTTAGCCCATCTGACATTCCATAAAAAACTCTAAAAAATTCACATATCAGTTTTCAGATGCAAAAAAGGAACAGATAATCATCGCCGAGTGATCGATTTATTTACAAAACAATTAGCACAAAGTACTTTTATTATAACAACAGAGGGATTGATTTCCATGCCATTTAATACTCTTCTCCCTCCTCGTAGGCGCCCTCGTTCGAGTCAAGTCCAACCTACAATGAATGTTCGTAACCCCCAAAAGTACAATCTGCAGATCGACACCAACCTCTTCATAATCTTTCTCGAGTGCTGCAAGGTCCTCCCGTGCCTCACTGAATTCTCCTTCCTCCATTCCTTCACCAACATACCTAAAAAAACCTTAGTAAGTAATGTCGTTCATGGCAGCATACTGTAAAAGCTTACCAATGAACAAATGCACGTTTAGCGTACATCAGATCAAACTTGTGATCAAGGCGAGCCCATGCCTCCGCGATAGCAGTCGTGTTCGATAACATGCAGACGGCACGTGGTACCTTTGCAATGTCACCACCGGGAACAACCGTAGGAGGTTGGTAATTGATGCCGACCTGAACGTTAGAAAAATAATGAACATTCATCCAAAGCTGTATTGTTGAGTTGTACCTTGAATCCAGTGGGGCACCAGTCAACGAACTGAATACTGCGTTTGGCTTTGATGGCTGAAATGGACTGGTTCACATCCTTTGGAACGACATCTCCGCGATACAGCAAGCAGACGGCCATGTACTTTCCATTACGAGGATCACATTTGACCATCTGGTTTGATGGCTCGAAGCACATGTTGGTGATGTCACTGACAGACAGGGCTTCGTGATAGGCCTGTAACGTTAGGTTTTAGAGAGTAGCTACGGTAGATCCAACTACCTAACCTTTTCTGCGGAGATGAGAGGAGAATATGTTGCGAGAGGGAAGTGAATGCGAGGGTAAGGTACGAGATTTGTTTGGAACTCAGTGAGATCAACATTTAGAGCACCTTCGAAGCGAAGTGAAGCTGTGATCGAAGACACAACCTGGAAATGAGAACATCTTAACACATTAGAAGGACTACGACCGTGGAAATAGGTAAACCTGTGAGATGATCCTGTTGAGGTTCGTGTAGCTGGGTCTCTCAACGTCAAGATTGCGACGGCAGATATCGTAGATGGCTTCATTATCAACCATAAAGGCACAGTCGGAATGTTCAAGGGTAGTGTGAGTAGTGAGGATTGAATTATAAGGCTCAACTACAGCTGTAGAAACCTGGAACAAAATGCATAACCAAAATGGACCCAGTCCCAGACGATGGCTTACTTGTGGCGCAGGATAGATTGAGAATTCAAGCTTGCTCTTTTTGCCGTAATCAACAGAAAGACGTTCCATGAGCAAGGAAGTGAATCCAGAACCAGTTCCTCCTCCAAACGAGTGGAAGATCAAAAATCCTTGAAGCCCAGAACAATTATCAGCAAGGCGTCGCGTTCGGTCTAGCACGAGATCGATAATTTCCTACAAAGCTTCACTTAGTTATTTATACCCAAATAACAAAAACCTACCTTTCCAACAGTATAATGCCCACGAGCATAATTATTAGCAGCATCCTCCTTTCCAGTTATCATTTGTTCGGGATGGAAGAGATGCTTGTATGTTCCCGTACGAATTTCATCTAAAATCAATATGCAACAATTAGATCCATGGAAGAATTCGGAATCGAACTGCTCTCTAGCGACATAAGTCCACGTACTTCCACCGTTTCCAGCACTTCCTAGTGTTCTCCAAAGCAGTGCAAGTATCAAGAATTCAAATTTCACTGACGATGTGCCGAAAGCATGCGAGTGTCATCGAATATGATTAAAGGCACCGTCCACCCAAATTCTCGACTTCCATGTTTTTGTCGATTCCGGGCCTTCTGAAGGCCCTGATTTCGAATATGAAGTCGAGAATCCCAAAAAACCCTATTTCGGAGAAAGCGGGACGGGTGAAAGTGCATTTTGCAGGGCTGCGGCGCGGTTATCGCCCGGCGTATATCAGCGCCGCAGCCCCCAAAGCTGCAAAATGGGCGAAGTGACCACTTTTGGATCACGTATCAAGTACCTTCCAGAGCGGATTTCTCGCTCCAGAAGCAATCTTTTGCGGGGAAACTTGGGAGTTGGCCTAGTGTGGGGGCCCACATTAGTGTGCCATTGAACATCGTGAACCCTCACTTTGGGTGGACGGTGCCTTTAAAGGCAGCGTCCAGGCAAACCTGGACATATAGGACCAGGGCCCGGCACCGATGGTTTGGGGTCAAACTGGACTTCCTTATTTGGAGTTAGAAGCAACGGGGACATCGTTTTTATGAGGTCCTGAAGGAAGCGCCAAAAAAAACACGACGAACATGTCAGGTTTCACGAGTTGAACGTGTTCTTTCGCAAGCGCGCGAATTTCAAATGCAAGACTCAAGCAAACAAATGGCTTGTTTACAGCGCACAAACAATCACATGGCTCCGAATTTGGATGCTATGTGTAATATTACTCCAAACTATGTTATGTAAAAAGTTCCCAAAACTTATGTGTCCCAATATCCGTTCTCGGTTTTGTTGGTTTCTAGACCAATTACAGGGGCTTTCAATCTGAGTGTCACGGTCGACGTGGCTCAGGTCCTTGCGAACCGCCTCGCATGTGTCTCTCACGTGGCGCAGTGCCGCATCCGCTGAGGCCTTCGCGTTATAGGGTGAGGTAGTGTACCACGTGAGAGACCCAAGCGACGCGGTTGTCGAGGGAGTGAACCACGTCGACCGTGACACTCATTGAAAACCCCTGTACCAAACCAACTGGGTTGGTTCGGAGCATAAATATCGGAGAGTTCACATAAGTTCTGGAACTTTTTGATTTGGACGATTAGAACGGTCAAAAATCTATCATATAGTGAAGAGAGCGGATCAAACCGTTGCCTCTCCCCTTTTTTTCGAGTCAGAAGTAGTATAATTCTACGCGTTGATAGATATCGCGCTCCAATCACTTGCGATGTCCTTTAAAATATGTGGTGAAAAATACATCGCAGGATTGTTGAGGCTACCGATTTGGTTGGCCTAGGAGATTTTCGACATTCCCAGCATCAAAATGTACTATACCCAATGGCAGAGTCTTTAATCGACTCGAAATGTTTTCTTTTTGCTTTTTTGTTGTATTACATACCTCAAAATGCGCTTTTTCGCTTTTTTGTTGCTATTTTGGTTGAATTAGGGTTTCCCTACTGATTTTCACGTCGAGAGGGACTTCGTAAATTTTCGCGAAGTCATGGGGGACTTCGTTTCCCAAAAACCTCCAAACCAACGCGTGCCGGGCCCTGTATAGGGCTCTCACGTGGATAGTAATCTTGAGGCCCTAACGAAGCCACTGTCCAAGCGGCAGCTTAGGGTGCCCTAACGGCTGAGATATTCGTCTCGAAACTGGACCCCGGGGTCTTTGCGCCACGAATCCATGCGAAACACGATCCCGGGGTCCGGTTTCGAGGCGAATATCTCAGCCGTAAGGCACTACTCAAGCTGCCGTTTGGGCAGTGGCTTAGTTAGGGCCTCAAGATTACTATCCACGTGAGAGTCCCTCTAGTCCAGATTTGCGTGGACACTGTCTTTAAGATGGTTACGGTAGGTTGATTAACAGTTTTTCCCAAACAATCCAAGATTAATTCGCTTGTTACTTAGTGGCCGCTGGTTCATTGTTTCTGGTTACCACTGATTACTAGTACGCTCTCCACTACTCGTTTGAGGGTGATGATGAACACGCCGTGCACTGCATTCCGCCTCCACCGAGCCTTCTCGGCGCTAGATTGTGACATACCATGTGCAAACCAGCTCCCGCAGAAAGGCGTACAGTATTTGGAAAACATACAAAGGCCGAAAAATAACTTGCTTCAAACAAGTTTCGCACTAGAGCGTCAATCTTGTTCGGAGCACTTATTTCCGATTACTCTCCGTCAGCTTTTCTATTGAGATAGAAAAAACACTGCTTTTTTCATTTCCACTATCCATTACTCCACTATTAACGCATTCATAATCATCGTTACACTCACAATTGACATAGCTTAGGGAAAAACTGGAAGAATGGCTATATACCATATCGAAAGCTAGGGTAGAAAAGGTGGTTGTACCCTGTGAGAACGAAGCGTCATGAGTACTTTGCATAATCCGCGAGTAAATACCATTAGCTACTAAATACAGAACATTTCAGTCGCCAAACACTTCACGGTCAGAATGAAATTTGTAGCGCGTTCCTTTGCTCAAATCAACGCCTCGATATATCGTCTGCGTACCAGAGAGGTTCCCATAGGTACCACGTCATCTCGCTGCCTTTCGCACTTGAACGTGTTAACCTCGGCACTTTCGTTGAAATCTCAGGAGAAACTTGTCAAAAAGAGCGAAAGGCAGCGTCGCACCACGTACGCACGCTGGATCACATGGGAACCTCCCTGGGGCGCCGACGGTACGTGCTCTGACGTCGTCGCCGCAAGCAAACACACTGGAGCGACCACTCCACAATGCCTCAAAAACCTCACTTCACCGAGAGCAATAAACCAGCGGTTAATAACTCCTAGATTCCAATCGCTCTTTGGGAGTTGGATAATTCATCGGAGGTGTGGGACACTTACCACTAACATTGGCGCTCAACCACTCATATCTTCTGCACAGAACCCGTTCAAAATCAGCATTCGGAAGACTTTTAATTATAACATCCCAGTTTACCAGTGAGAACTAGTATCCTTCCTTTTCGAAGAACCTCCAGCTACCGCTATGCTATTTCTATGCTTTCTTGAAAACCACTACATTTCCCTGCGAAAACTTGAATTTCATGAGAACTGCTTTCCAAGACGGGACTGCTGCGAGCATCTACCAAGTAAGATACGCATGTAATCCCACGTCGAACATTAACCTTAGCATTACCAATATAAACGATTTGGCCACCAATTTTTTGGCCAAAGACATTTTGTTGAACTGATTATCCCCGATAAATTGACTACGCAGTGTCTTAACCTCTGAGCGCAGCAGCCCCACTCAGCATGAAAAAAAATAACTGGTAAGTTTAGTGGGCGGTCGGGCAGGAGGCAGCAAAGGCTCGCCGCTTCTGCTTATGGAAGTACCTGAGGAATTTCAGACTTTCTCGCGCCTCTAATTACTTCTTCGCACTTCTAATTATAGATGACCTATGCCAAATTGATCGTTGATTTCTCCAAGCGTGACATTTTTGAGATAGTTTTTATGTTTTAAATTCGTAGCAAGTAAGATAGATAACAAGTTCAAAAAGCACTCATGGATAGCCATCCAACGTCAAATGATTTTAAACTATGAATTGGTCTACTCAGTCTTCAGACCAGAATCTCAAACATAAACATGTAAATCTTTCTCAGTTATTCCGATCGAAGACAAGAACTTTGTAGAATTATTGCACTCGTCCTTTATTCTGCATCATAATCAGCTCCTTCTGTTGCGAATTTTGGAGTAAAATTTCCTGAACCCAATCCAAATAAGTTGAAAACGATTATAGCTGAGATTGAAAGAAATTGCGAGATTCTCAAACTGATCCGGGGTGAGATACTCTCCAAAAAGATATTCGTTCAATTCTTTAACTTGTAAAGTATCAGAGTGTGAAAAATGATTAGAGGCGCGAGGAATCTGGAGCTCCCCAAGCGCTTCCAGAGGCAAATGCGGTAAGCCTTTGCTGCCTCCTGCATGACGTCCAGTTTTGTGCATGAGTATCGCGCGAGACAGTTCACAGACCTCCTAATGAAACATAGCGCAGCCTGCAATGGTTTGTGAAGCGAAGTGTTGTAGAAAGATTGAGCAGCTTAACTTTCATCAAGAAAAGAAAAAAGCTACTTGAATCACTTTGAAAGCTACAACCACTAAACTCGGATCGAACTCAAGTGAGATACCATTTTCTTGAAGGTAATGGAAACCCAACAGCAACAAGATGTCATCGTTTTTGCATGAAATGTTGCTAAGCAGAACTCGCTCAGTCAGAAAACACTGACGAACATCGGGGTAAGATTTCCACTTGAAAGTTGCATAAGTTGAATAAACAGTGTGCCTACCTACAACAGTCGGCTCGAGATCAACCATAATTGCTCTTGGGACAAATCGCCCATTTCCTGTCTCTGAGAAGAATGTGGTGAAGGACTCGTTCTCATTCTGTGCAGGCATCATGCCATCAGGCTGAATTCCGTGCTCCAAGCAATAGAGCTCCCAACAAGCATTTCCAATTTGTACACCGGCTTGGCCAACATGAATAGAGATCACTTCACGCTGAAAGAAATGAAGATTCATTGGTGGACTACAAAACATTCTCCTCAGCAAAGACCACAAAGTCGAAGACCCACCATCTTGTGTCCGTCACGAAACGAAAATGAAACCTGAAACGAGCCTAAATTAGTTGTTGGAACTACGGATCAATAGCACAATGAGTCACAATACGATACTACGAAATACAGTCCCAATTCGTGATCTGATAACAAACAAATATTTGCTGGGAAGAACTACTGATACATTTCATACACAAAGCTTTCCGAAATTGAAGCGTAGCATCGTGATCGGGAAGTAAGCAGCGACGGTCAGCGCAGTTGTTTGCAAGAGTTTTTCGCGCCACTTGGCGTGCCATCCTGCGATGCACCCGCAATTCACTGCGATCAGCAAACGAAAGGGGCTGCTACGAAGGCAGACCTGCGCGCGAAACTCGAATTTGCATTCGAAGGGGCGTGTCCAGGGTGAATCATCGCTTCGCTACCGACTCCCTTCACCAAAGTGACGAGAGAGTGTTTCGAAATCCAGGGATGTAAGAGGATATGGATTAGCTTGGGAATAAAGGGAACAATTCTAGCCAGTTGTTTTTGCTGGACTTAGAGCTGCGGGGAGCCTTTTGGATTTGGAGTTCAAGAAAAATTGGAAAGAGCAGTTTGCGAAGAACTCTTGTCTGCAAAGGTCTCCGCCATTCACAATCAAGAAAGGTTCGAGATTGTTGCGCTACCTTGTAGACTGATTCATCAGCAACTTATCTAGCTCGTTACTACAGCGCGTCAAATCAAACTAATGACAAGAAATAAGATGGTCTTTCACAGAACTTTGTGGGAAAGTGGCGATTTCGCAGTGAACGAATATTCAGTGTAATGTGAGCGATTATACGATCGAGATCAGTTGGATCAGTATGCGCACCGCTCTTGCGATAGCCTCTGTTTACTTTCGAATACTCAAATCGGAGGAGAGGGTTTCCCACTTCTTGTTCGAGCCGAGCGCTTGCGGATGGTTGACTCGAATGAATCGGTGATTTTGCACTTTTGAGGATATGCTGCGAAGCGCAAAATGTTTGTGAGAAACAGATTGTTAGATATTCTTCTAAATTTTGAGAGAGAACAACTCGCTGAGGGCACAAAAAACTCTTTCCCAAGTGATATGATGGCAGAACCAAAAAGAAGATTTTGTTTTTCAACTTTCCTAATTTGACTAAAATAATGCACCTCATAGTGATATAGGTGCGAGATCCAAAATTGTATTGGTAAGAAATCCCAGAAAATATAAATGCGAGATCCAAAAATGTATTGGTAAGAAATCCCAGAAAATATAAATGCGAGATCCAAAAATGTATTGGTAAGAAATCCCAGAAAATTCCCAGTACCTGTAGTTAGATTCGGAGCAATAAGGCTAGCTTCATTGTAAATGACTGCTTAGCTTTGAAAAAAGTGGCAACTACCCAGCCTTATTATGTTCTTTTTATCAGACAGATGAACGGCTTGAAAAGGAACAAAAACAGCTTGATTATAAAGACAATACTAGATAACACAGCATTTTCACTGCTTCAGGTTTTAGTCCATAATAGTAATTAGCTGAGCTGGAAGGAAGACTTAGAAATGTAAGTTTCAGATCAAATCAGATAACATAAAAATTGAATCTATAAACGCTTTCGGAGAGTCATATCAACTGATAGGAGGACAGACTACTCTTGATAAGCCCAATTTTATGAACGAAGTAGCTTAGTAAAGACCAAGTATTGGCTAACCATTCACGTAAAAGGTAAACTGGATAAATGATATGACCAAGGACGACCAGGCAATGACCCTCAGCTGAGGTCAATATCACACTGGTATTACGCGACTTGATTGCTTGCGAACGTCCCAATTAGCGCCTCAACCACAAAATTGGAGATTTCGAGAATAAAATCTCAAGAATCTGCGAACAATGTCAACGCGGGAATTCCCATATATCGGTATCGTTTTTGCATCGTTTGAGAAGCACACAGCAATTTTTAGAAGCCAGAAGATTTTAATGATCTCATAGTAAATGTGAAGTTATTTTGTTGTCCTACTGGGCTTCTCTTCTTTGTCTTTTCGTATCTATCTTGTAATCTCTTTCATTCTCAAGTTTTGGAGTTTTTCCACTCAATACATTTTGTTCAACAGAAATGTTTAGTTGATTGAATGATAATTGACTAAAATAAAGGATAAAAATAATGACGCAAACTCCCATAATTATCAAATAGGAAAGTCTCAGGAATTTATATCAGCATCAGCAACATGAACTGGCCCCTTATCTCTGATAAGCAGATCTACAGCACCCAGTGGTTGACTGTTTCAATTAAAAAAAAATGAAATCTTGCAAACTCCAAACTTTGTTTGTTCGCAGCAGAAATTTCTCAAAGTGCAGACAGAAAAAACTTTCTGGAAGGCCGGTTTCAGCTCTGCTATTGATATAATGGATCAAGGTAGCCCTTATATTTGCAGAACTTACCAAACCTTCGGTAACGCCTTAAAATCATAGCTCAAATGCAGCTCTTTTTCCCGGGAATGAAAAAGAAAAAGTGGTGGGCGTCATTCTTTTCATTCCTTACACTTAGATAATTTGCGAGAAATCAACACAGAAAAGTGGAAAACGAAATGACAAGGTTTGAGGGGTATCGAGGCATGCACAGTCGATGGAGGAATTATCCTTTTCGACAGCGATCCGACCTCCGTCGGGGGTCGCCGGCCGATGATACAGCCTCTTCACTGACCTTGGCCCTCAGCAGATGTTACAAAAAGGATATCCTCGACGGGAACTCGTGATACGAAAAAGCTATGCAGGTGTCAGCTCGGAACAAGCTGTTTTTTGGGCTCGTACAATTTTATGCGTTGGCACTATCGCAATCATTCTTGCATATGTGTGAGGGACACAGAAACCTGCAGACTATCTATCATAAAAAAACCTACTGCAAACTGGTGAGATCTACCTAATAAAACCATACTCAAACTATGCATTTTTTGGGGTATTGCGATTAACAAAATTTTGATTTATTAGGTTGAATGGAAAGTAATGTCGCTTTTTATTTTGAAAAATTCGTAGCTGCTCCCTATGTGAACGCATTTGATTGCAAAAAGATTTTCAGATAGAAAAACTCATTTACTTTCTATTAACAGCTATACGGCTCTTCGACGATAAGGGAGTCGAGAGATAAAAATTCGAATAGGAGAACGACTCTGACTCCCGATTTTTGAAAATAAATTGTTCAAATTTGAACGCTGCAAAAAATTTTGAAAACTGCCTCTTACAGTCTACGTGAGCTGCTCTTTTTAACAGTTTCAAGTTTGTGCTGATAGGAGCTTTTCTATAAAAAACTATGATTTTTGTGGAAAATGCACAGAAATATAGAAAACATCATTTTTGCCGTTTTTTGCATTTTTACAAAAATCATAACTTTTTATAGAAAGACTCGATCGGCATGAACTTGACACTATTAGAAAGAGCAGCTCACGTAAACTGTACGAAACATGTTTTTAACAAATTTTTATGCAGCGATTCAGATTTGACGATTAATCAAAATCCAGAATTAGTGGGGGTCTCCTATTTGCGAATTTTCATCTCTAGATCCCTTGTGAAAAACCGCAAAGATTTTAGAAAGTAGATGAATCTTTCTTTCTGACGAACCATTTGTGTGCAAATACATTCATGGGGAGCAGTTACGAATTTTCCAAAATCAAAGCTAGAGGACCGGTTTAAATCAATATTTCTTGCCAAACTGCTCTCGCAATGCATGTGCTAATTGAATTCATTGTCGAAACCATGCAGTTCATACTGAGCAACTTTTATGCTGGGCTGAACAGGGTCATTCGCACCACAAAAAATCGTACTTCTTTCTATCAAAACAATATTGCTACTGATGAATAACATTTAGAAAAGTATTAATACCTAGCAGGCTCCCTGCTAGGTTCTTACTGCAGAGATAAAAATGAAAGGAACATTCAAGCTTTTGTCATTTCAAAAAAGCCCATTATTATAAACAACAAAATCGTGCGATAAAATTCGAAATAATCTATTCTACAGGTTCTAGGACCTCCTCTTTCCTATATGCAAAGTTTGTATTAACAGAGCTTCTCTGAGAAAATTCATGGTTTTCGAAAAAAATGCAGAAAACAATTCCTCCTTTCCTTGCATAATCCTCGAAAATACCACAACTATCCACAAAGGATCTCGATTAGCAAAAACTTTGCATAGTTAAAAAGAGAAGCTTCTGAAACCTAAACTATAAAACCAACTATTTTGGGTTCTATTGCATAGTCTTAGATTTTTAGCTTCAAATCACCGAAGCTTGAGTGATTCATTCTTTCATTTTTATCTCTGCAGTCAGAACTTATTAGGGAGTCTGCTAAATGTCTTTAGAAAGCACAATGTTTGCTCTTCGTAGCATTTGTTGCAATGTTGCTGAGAGTGAAAAAAGTTACAATTTTTTGAAACTGACAAACAAAGTTTTGTTCAACTGACTACAATACCATATCAAATATGGATGCGAGAGATCGCGAGCAAAAATTTGAGTTGCAACGACCTTAATTTCAAATGTGCGTTCATACCAGCGATGACACAAAAAAAAACTTTTCTGAAAGGAGGAGGAGGAGGGAGCGTAGCCTTAGCCATGCCCTACACATTTTCTCAAACAAATCTCAAACTGTTCGTCACCCTCTTGCTACAAATTTTGAGAATGAGCGTAGCGTTATCTAAGTTCGACAACTTGTCTAACATTTGATTCAGCACGATCTAACATCCTGTATAAAACAGGTACAAAAAGATTGATACAAAAACCTGTGTAACACATATATCAGTTTCAAGTTATAAACCTAAATTTAGGGCGGTGGTGCTTTACGATGATGCAAAAAAATTAAGATGAAAATGATGATGCAGAAACAAAAAATTTTTGGCGGCGGCCCAGGAGTTCCCAAAGCCTGGCCGCCTTTCCTTGCAGGGATAGTTAGCACTTCCAAGGGGCCTTCGCACCTTTCAGACGGCTCCGCCCACTTGCTCCGCCCACTAGCTAATCTTATTCCGAGTTATGCAGGCTTGGAGAATAGTCCCAATGTGTTCTGCT